CGGCTGCGGCGGCGGTAGCCCCCGGGCTCGGACGTGGCAGCTCCTGTCGGCGCCTCGGAACTGCTCACTTCCGGCGCCGGGCTGGCAAGCCGTCGGGCCGTAACTCCGGAGGCTCCGGGCAGCAACGCGCTCGCCGTGCACTAAGGTTCCGTACCCGTCCGAGGGCCTGCCGGAGCCCCGCCCCTTACACTTGCAGAACGCGCGAGACCCACGGGGTGGGGCTTTGCTCGCGTGGCGACCCTGACCCTTGAGCTTTGGAATCTGAAGTTCTAGTGCGTCTCCACCAGGTCTTCCCTTTTCCTGAGATCCATGAACGAAAGAGAAGGTTAATAACTACAACCTCACCGGCCTCCCTGGGGTTCTGGGTGCGATGAGTAATTTTGGGGAGTGCGTAGACTGGTCCTAGCGCGTCCTCGTTAGTCGGACCTCTGGCCCCGAGGACTGCACCAGGGCGGGGGGCTCCAGGGAAGGCCCCTCGCCAGAGTCTGAGACCTCTCCGCTCTTGCTGGCTCTAGGTCACCAGACCAATGCCTCCAAACTTCCCCTTCCAGATGCATCTCCTGGGATCCTGTGAGTCTGGCTAGATCCCCCCCCCCCCAGGCAGAAGTCAGCCAAGCTCCTGTGTCCCCTAGGTTCCTACCTTTCCGAGGGAGGCCGGCCGAGTGTTCCTCACGAACACGGAGAGAGAGAATTCGGCCCTGTGAGACATGAGCCTGGGGGCAGCCGCGCATAGTCTAGCCTTGTGACATTAAGGAGGCAGGTGAGCCAGGATAAAGTCCCCACACCTCTTGGGTAAGTCTTAGTCCTTCCGATTCCTCTTGTGAAACGGGGTAAGAGCCCTATCTGGAGGTGGTCACTGCCTGAAGGGAGGTGTCAAAGCTTAGAGCACCCTCTGATCGACCCAGACTAATGAGCTTTGGGAGGGGGCTGGAGGACCCAGGAGGTAACACAAGGAAAGACCAGGCCTCTGGGCAGCAACCCACTCTGCCGCTCCCCCACCTCCATCCAGCTTTCCAGTTTTGTTATTGCCCTCCAGTGGGGAAAGGATGCAGGGATGTGAGGGGGCGGTGCTTACGGTAGAGCAGGGAGCAAAGGGGGGCTGTGTGTGAGGGGGTGGGGTCCTCTTGAGTCTCTGGACCTTCAAGGGACAGGGCCCTGGTTCTGCAGCTACACTACAGATCCTCTGGCTAGCAAGGTCAAGTGACTTCCTTCTGAGCCTTACTTTCCTCCAGTGGGAAATGGGGAGAAGGGCATATTAGATATAAATATAATGCATGTGTAATATAATAACAATTGTTATTAAAGGAATGTCCTGGTCTAGGCTTTGAAGTTGAAGAAATTGGAACTCTAGGATGAGCAATCAAATTGCATGAAGGACTTTTAAAAAATTTGTGGAAAAATGGAATTAAAGTATGAGTTTATTTTGGTGCACACATTTTTTGAAATAGGTTTTTTTTTTTTTTTTGGAATACACTTTGCATAAACTTTCTGAAGACCCCAAGTATCTTTAAGGTATTTTCTGGAGAGACCAAAAGATGTAATACAGAGGTTTTGCGTGGCAATTCTGGCATCGAGACTGCCAGGTGGCATTACTGCATTTCCTACTTGTTAGGTGGGCACACTCTTCACCAATCTGAGCTGTTTCCTCCTCTGTTAAGTGGGAATGATAATAGTACCCCTCCAAAGGTTGATGTTGTGATTGAATGAACCCTTGGATGTGAACCTGTCTTGGAAGTTGGTCGGATCTATGACGTTTCATCTCAGGACCGGTCAACCAGAGGAGAGCTGGGATCGTGTGTGTAACGGCAACCTTTGGACCAACTTGGGAACTGTTTCTTGGTCTGGGCATATTCTCTCTCTTTGCTGATGTTCAACAGAGGTTTGCAAAGTTTAATTTCCTAGGGTACCAGACTCCTTTCTGCCTCTCCCCTTCCCAGAAGGGTTCCCATCTATTGGGTTGTCAGAAAAGTCGTGATGTACTTTTCTATATAAACACGTGTCATGACTTTTCTGACGACCCGATACATCCCGTGTCTGTATTTTCCATCTCTGCCCTTCGGTTAATCTCAGACCCTACATCAGACCATTCTGAGCTTTTCCTAATTTGTGCCCCTGACCTTCCAGCCTCTCTGCTTCCAAGTCTCTTCCTTTTCCTCCTGAGGTCCCTTCCCCAAAGTCCTCCCCTCTGAGACAGTTGGCCATTGCTCATGGGCTAGTAGCTGATGGCAAGTTAAGCTTGTTTCCCTCAGATGGTGGGGATTCAAAAGGCGTAACCTGGTGGAAGGAGAGAGATCGCCCACTGAGCTGTGTGCCTTTGGGCAGAGTGCCTCCCCCCACCCCCCAAGACTCGATTTCTCCGAGTTCAAAACCCACAGAGGCAGGGGCCCAGCTGTCCTAAGGAAGAAGGCCTTGTGATGTGTACCGTGTCTGCGTTTCCACGTGTGCATTTATTGTTATTGCTCAGTATAGTGTTGAAAAGGCAGACAATTCCCATTAATTACAAAGAGCACAAGCCAGAGATACAGAGAAATAGAGAGTGTACAATAAGAACACAGTCACTTTCCAGCCCCGATCCTCCCGGAGCCCCCCAGAGCCCCCCAGAGCCCGGGCTGCTTGTGGGAGCTGGAGGCGGCACTATTCCCTCCCTACTCTGTTATAAAATGTGTGCACACAGGAAAGAGCAGTGTGGTGAGCCCCGGAGAGGAAAAGAGCACCACAGGCATTACAAAACAGACTGAGGGGGCTGAGAAGGGCTGTCCCCAAGCAGCCTCCACTCTTGTTTGCAGTGAAGGGGGTGATGGCTGCTGCTCAGAGCCTGGGATCCCCCCCACGTGGGTGGGTAGACTCTTCTAAAGTCAGGAGAGCTCGATTTGGAACTCGGAAAAGACCTGGAGACTTCCTGTTGTTGGGTTTTGGCCCTGGCTCTGGAAGGCCCCAAAGTCACCAAGAGACGTTCCCCTCCCCCTAAGAGCCTCTAATGGTGGGATTTCGGGTGTCGGATGGGGGAGGGATCCACCTGGAGGCTTGGCAGGGTGCACCACGTTGGCAGCCTCTCATAGGAGGAACAAGAGTGGAGTGACGTCAGAGAGGAAGGATGCTGAGACAGCCCAGGCTAGATGTGTCCGCGTCTCAGAGGTACTCAAAACTCGGAATCAAAGAGTAACAGGTGACACCCCCTTCCCCAAAAAGCAAAATCCAGTTCAGGAAAAGGAGACAGGAATAAACATTCCTCCAAAACTGGGAGTGCAGACACCCAGGCCACGTGCTGTCCTGAGCAGCTCTGCATCCAGGCCTGAGAGAGAGCACCTCTTTCTTGTCTGGACTTGGGGCAGAGGGAGGGTCCACCCAACACTACCAAGGTGGGTGACTTTGGTTCCCAAGCAGAGCTATACAGGGACTTAGTGGCCTTCCCTGAAAATTCTCGGGCTGAGGGGACAGGTGACATGATGGGAGGGACATCAGGCGTCCCTCAAGAATCAGGATGTACCTTTTGCCCCTCTCTACAGGACACGCTCTACTTAGCGGACCTCAATGGACAGTGATTGCAGTGTGTATATGGGGGGGGGACAGTGGTGACACACAGAAGGACAGGGTCCAGAACCCGGAGTGGGAGGAGGGCAAGGACAGCAGGACTTGGCCAAAGGCTCTGAAGTTTGATAAAAAGAGTGAAGGGAGGGGTCAGCAGTTGGTGTAATGGCTATGTCGCTGGACTCCCATGTAGTCAACTGTGGTTCGAGTCCCGGACCCAGTGGCTTAAATTCACTCTGGGCACGTGTGCGTGCGTGCCCAAGATCCCGAGAGGAGAATGGAGGAGAAGGGATTGCGGCATGGCCATCCCCTCTGGGGGGTGATTTCTCGCTTTCTGTCTCTCTGTCTCGCTCTGTCTTTCTGGCGAGCGCCTGCACCCTATAGCAAAAACCTCTCCAAAAAAAAAAAGAGTGAAGGGGACCCATCATGTCACATAATAAAACACTGTAAATGACAGTAATTAAAACTGTGGCTGGGACCAGCAGTTAGCGTAATGGCTATGTCTCTGGACTCCCACGTAGTCAACCGCAGTTCGTGTCCCGGACCCGGTGGCTTAAACTCACGCCAGGCACATGTGTGTGCATGCCCAAGATCCCGAGAGGAGAATGGAGGAGAGGGGATTGCGGCGTGGCCACCCCCCTAGGGGGTGATTTCTCGCTTTCTGTCTCTGTCTCTCTCTGTCTTTCTGGCGAGCGCATGTGCCCTATAGCAAAAAAAAAACTCTAAAAATTTTTTTAAAAAAAATAAAGAAAGAAAGAAGCCAAACACAAAGGTCGGCATGTCATATGGTTATATTTATGTAGAGTATCCAGAAGAGGCAAATCCATTGAGACAGAGAGCAGACTAGCTGTTGCCAATGGATAAAGGGAAGGTAAAATAATAGTGAGTGCTTAATGGATACGAGGTTTCCTTCTGGGTGATGAAAATGTTCCCTAGTTAGACGGTGGTTTTAGTTGACAACTTCGGGAATATACTAAGAACCGCTGGATTGTTCTTAGAAAATGTATTCAGCATGTAGTCTGAGAGTGTGAAAACTGAAGGAAATGTTAGTGCAATCTTAAACTGTAGCAGCTAAAATGTGAAGGAACAGAAAAGTGTATGAAAAGCAGTTACATCCAGTCTCTCTCCTGTCTAACTTCCCCCTTCAGCATCCCAGAGGGGATTTAGTTTAGATCTACATTGTCCAACTCAACATTCTGTGATGATGGGGGTGTTTTTTATCTGAGCTACTTACTCAACATAGAGACCACTAGATATATGTGACTATTGACACTGAAAATACAGTTAGTGTTGGGCCAGCCCAGTGAGCTAGTGGTTAAGGGACCTGGATCCCATATGATTGACTGAAAAGTTGAATTCTCAGACCCAGAGGCTTGTAAAACATGGCAGGTATATCCCCAAAGAAGGGAGAAATAGAGGAGAAGGGATTGCATTGTGACCATGACCCGCTGGGGAAATGCTTTCTTCTTCTTCCTCTCTCTCTGTTTTTCTGTCTGTCTCTGATGAGAACCTATGCCTTCTAGCAAATTAAAAAATAATAATAATAAATATGGCTCATAGAACCTGAAGAACTGAATGTAAATATATCACACTTTAAATAGCCATGTGTGTCTACTAGCCACCAATGTGGCAGTGCAACTCTGGCTGGTTTAGAGAACTAGAGCCATTTCAACTGCCAGTGTGAAAAAAAAATCCTGGGACACGAGAGTGGGAGGGTCTACATTTTTATGTTCCACAGCCCTGCTCAACCCTGTCCCCACCAGAAATCCTTCACTGAGTCTCATTGCCCCACACTTCTTTCTACAAACTCCTAATGAACTTTAGGATTTCGTTTTCTCTTAATGACAAGTTACTTCCATTCCACAAATATTTGTGAGCCAGGTGCTTGGGTCATACTAGGGATGTGAAGGATTGTGGACAATGTCAGTCAAATTCCCAAGGATTGGTCTTGAGAAGGGTGAGAAGGGATAAAAGAAATTCCTTACAAAAACCTGACTTCTCTTTTTTCTCCCAACACACCCTTCCTTCTCTTTCTCTCGCCCTCTCTCACTCTATCTCTCTCCCAAGTGGGAAATCTTTCAATGCTGAAATAGCTTTGAAAAATCTTTATTTAGATTTCCTGTTTCCAACTCAAGCCTTCTAATGTCCTTAACCCCTTCGAAAAACTTCTAGTTCAGGGGGCCAGCTGGTGGTTAAAGTGGCTGAATCTCACATGCCCAAAAGCATGGTTTGAGTTCCCAATCAGCAGATTGATAAAACATGCC